AACACACACACACACACAAATACATATACATATATATATATATATATATAATATTATATATATATATATATATATATATATATATATATATATATATATATAATAAAGTAAAGTGTCTGTGTGTACGTGTGCGAGTATATATATATACTATATATATATATAATATATATATATATATATATATATATATATATATATATATATATAATATTATATATATATATATATGGCGTATGCGTATATATATAATACATATATATATATAATATATATATAATAATATATATATATATATATAATATATATATNGAGAGAGAGAGAGAGAGAGAGAGAGAGAGAGAGAGTGAGTGACAAATAACTAAAGAGAAGTTTACAGAAAGAATAGCTTCTTATAAACTGGGCTATTTTATCAATGAATCAGATATCTTACAAGTCATTCTTTGGGTCATCATATGCTGCAGTACAATGACCTTTCCATTTCTTATTCTGCCATCTGACCTTTGATATTTCACTTGTCTGTTAAAAACCACCAGACTCCTGCAACATTCATACTGTTGCACCACTAGCAGTAGGGTCTGAGTCATGTCACAAAAGTACATTGATATTCTGATTACCTCACTGTAGAGCTATCAGTTACAGAGGATTAATTTTCCTTCTTTTGATAGTCTTAGCTTAAAATAATGTTTTGTATAGCCCAGAAATAAAAAAAATCTAATTTAAACACAAAATCAGTTACTACAAGGAAATAATTTTCTTGAGACACATAATAATAATATTCCTACAAACATTATTTTTCCGGGGGGGAAACAAGACACTTTCACACTTTCTCCTGTCAAAGCGTTATCAAATGTTGTCATCATACTTCCTTCCAAAATTAAAGTTACAAAGAGACGACTTATTGCACGATTGGAGAACGAATACTGCCAATCTTGTATCTAGTCTTCTCATCGACATAAAGAATGCTTACCTTCTTCAGCAATTAATTAAAGTTGCATGAGTAAAAGTCCTATGAATCTTACTCTTTACTCATCACCTATTAACACAATATCCCTTTATTCACCCACTACATCTAAAATAACCTCATTAATCCCCTTGCAACAACACATCAACTTGCAACACGGAACCGAAATTCTGGTTCCTTTCAAACATGACAACTGAGACAGCTCTCACCTTGCAATACCTCGACAAATATCCCTTTTCTTCACTTTATTCCACACTTTTTCGTCGCTCAGTCCCTTCCTCTAGATTCCCTCGACACTCGCACACACTTTCCGTCCTCCTCCCGAGCCACGCGAAGGAATAATGAGCGAAAATGAGAAGAATTTCACCCCTTCCTTCCACCTCCTTCCTCGCCAACTCGGACAATGTTTACAAATACGCAGCCTCCGTGACGTCATATCGAGTGACGTCATCGCACCACCGCCTCTCGACCAATCAGCGTCTAGTCTGCCGTCGGACAAGTCGGAGCTGATTGGTCGGTCGCGGGACACGCCCCCACGTGACCTTGTGACGTCGCTGTCCCGTTGCAATAGGTCAATTGAATATTTCTTTGTTGATAGTATGCGTATAAGTGGCACGTCGAGTGTTGGTCTGAATGGCGTGATACTACGTTTTGGAGAATATTTACAATCATTCGGAAGATAAAAAGTTAAAGATAAGTGATACAGCGGTCAATATGGGATATTTTGTGACACCTGTCATTCATGTCTCTCTGGATATTTAGGGCACTCGTTAACTTCTTGTATTTGCTATTGAATGAAAAAGTGATTTTTTTTTTTTCCTAACCCTCTCTTTCTTACTCTCTCTCATCCTCTCGCACCTTTTCCGTCCTGTGTGTGCGCAGAATGTTATTTCAGCCATGCTAGTTGAGAAAAGGACACCTAAATAGACAAATAGATAAACCACGGAAATAGATACACTACAAAGAAAAACAAAAAAACGGAAGTTGCTTGTTCTTACGCATAGGTTTATAAGGCTTCTTTTCTTGCCTAAAGCACCGCTTGTTTGGTCACGTGTGGAGCAACACGTGGCAGCAATGTCGAGGTGTTTGCCAAAGGAGGTGATGTCTTACGCACAAAATGTCCTGGCATGAGATTTGCTCTCTCTGTTACTCATCTTCTCTTTCTCTCTGTCCTTGCCCCCCTCCCCCCCTCTCTCTCTCTGTCTATTTGTCTGTCTGTGTGTCTGTCTTTGTACCTTTGTCTTCGTCTGTTTGCTAATGTGTGTGTGTGTGTGTGTGTGTGTGTATTTGCGTGTGTGTGTATTTGTGTGTTCGTGTGTTCCTCTCTCTCTCTCTTTATCTGTCTATTCGTCTGTCTGTTTGTCTGTCTTTGTATCTTTGTCTTCGTCTGTTTGTCTGTTTGCCAGTGTGTGTGTGTATGTGTGTTCGTGTGTTCCTCTCTCTCTCTCTTTCTCTGTCTGTCTATCTGTCTGTCTCTCTCTCTCCCTTCCTTCCTCTCTCCCTCCCTCCCTTCCTTCCTCCCTCCATCCCTCCCTTCTT